TTTCTGAAAAATATTTTTTTGTAATTTTTTTTCAGTGACTCATACACTTTGAAAGTACCCAGAAAGCACCAAATAGCATCTTAAAATTGTAAAATTTTCTTGGGGCATTGGCCACACACCCCCCACAAAACAATGGAAAAGTTCTAAATTTATTTTAGTGTTTTGTCTCAGACACTTTTAAATTGTACCCAGACATCATCAAATAGCTCCTTGATATGGTAAGTGTTTCTGTCTCCCTCTTGCATCTTGCACTTGCATAATCCCCCCCCCTCTCTAGCGCCCCCCTCTTGCTCCCCCCCGTCTGGCACCCCCCCCCCCCCCCTCTGGCGCCCCCCCTTGACCCCCCCCAAAAAAAAATTGTGATTTTCTCAAATTCTTTAATTGACTCATACACTTTGAAAGTGCCCAGAAAGCACCAAATAGCGCCGTAAAATTGTAAAATTTTCTAGGGGGAGTGGGCCACCCCTCACACACAAAACAATCGAAAAGTTCTGAATATGTTTTATGTGTTGACACTTTTAAATTGCCCAGACATCATCAAATAGCTCCTTTGATAAAGTTAATGATTCTGGAAGACTAACACTTACTCGCCCTCTGGCATCCCCACTCCACCTCCCCTCCACCTCCCCCTCTGGCAGACCCCCCCCTAACACCCCCTTTGAAAGTGACCACTTCACCCTCTCATCCTCTTTGACACCCCCAAAAGAATTTGAAAAAAAATCCACATTTTTCTTATTGACTCATAACGCACAGGCGTACCAGATGGTTGCAAATTCGCTCCAAATACAACCAAATTTCAAAATTTTCCTGGGGAAGGACCCCAGACCCCCCTGAATGCTCGGTTTTTATTCACACAACTCTTATTCCTGTTGTGGTGGCATACTACTTGGAAACTTACACTTTGAAAGTGCCCAGAAAGCACCAAATAGCATCTCAAAACTTAAATTTTCTAGGGGGAGTGGACCACTCCTCACGACCCCCACAAAACAATTGGAACGTTTGGAAGTTGCATTTGTTAATTCCAAACCAATATAGAGAGTAACAGAGCCCCCCCCCCCCCCCCCCATCTGACTTATGCGATTTGATTTACGCGTTAATAAAATTGACAATTTTATATTCTCTTCAGTAAGCTAAAAACCGCAACCCCCTTGAAGAAAAGTGTCCTACGGGCCTGGATACACTGAGCCTTTAGTATTATTTCAAAACTATAAACATGTAACAGGTGACCCTGTCATAATAATTAGCATGCATTCAATTCATGTCTAAGTGAACAGTCTGTTTTTATTTGGTTTGTCATATAAACTAAATTAATGTAAATGTACGTGTACATGAGAAAACAACACATTTACTTTTTAACTTATCAAGTAATTCTGTTTAAAGTTTGCATAATTAATTTGAGTAATCAGACATAAGGTCTTTAAGTGCTTGTAAAAGAGATAAGGCATCCTTGTAAATATATTTTTCAATTTTGAACCCCGTGTGTAAGGTATGTCATTATTGAACTTGAATATTTTTAACCCTGCATGGAGTCTTGTCAGGGTATATATACATTTTATCAGCTATTTACCAGACAAATATCCAGCTGTTGGAGCAAAGAAGACAAAGTTGTCATTAAATAGAAACTATCCACCCTGGTTCAGCTTTGAAAGTTAATCAGGAAGATGTTGGGAAAAGCAGGTAAATAAAGGAACTTTTCATAGAAAACTAAAAACAATATTAAGCTAAACTCGAGTAGTAATATGACAGTATGTAGGGTTTTAACTGGGTAAGTTAAACACATTATTAAGTGAAGTTATTCACATTAATAACGTGATGTTAAGTTGTATGTAACATTGGTCACATGAATAAAAAAATAAGGTCGGAAACTAGGTAGTTCATGAATTAGACTAAATTTACATGTTAAAATGTACTCTTGAGTATCAGCCTAGTACATGAAGATGAAGCTCTCTTTTAAGAAGCAAAATCAGACCTTTTGACAGGGTAGCTAGCATATATGTGTAATTTTCAGAATATTTTCACGTTAAAGGCTTATGTTTGGGTCAATGGGAAAAGTCGTGGGCTGAGTCATCGGTGTATGCAATTGGTATATGCAATTGGGATAAGTAATGGCTTACTGGCATTTACCTATTGAATCATATATGGGGCAGAAATTGGTGTGTTATGAAAGTGGTTACATGTGCGCACATTAGCATGGATTGTGTTGTGTTATGTGGTTTAGATAGATAATACAATATATAAACTAAAAAATTGATGTTCAGTTTAGTTTCACTGATTTCCTATACTTTTTACAACTGAAAATATTATATACTATATAAAAGTACAAAAAGATAAACATATGCTGTATTTATTAATTCATATTCTGAATAAGTATACATCCTATACATCATGTGATTATTCACCTGTTTTGACCTATGAAACAGGTAAAAAAAGATTTTCATCATGGTTTTGTTTTGTGGTCACGACTTTAAAAGTACATGCACCCTAAATAAGGCACATCAATAAATAGCAATGGAATGATCACAATTGGCCTTTTTAATGATTTTATTTTGTTTCCTTTTTGTATAGTAAGCTCTGACACTAGGGTTGTCATGATCTAGTAGAGGCAATCTTCCTGCAAGACCCAAGAGTATACCAATATAACAATGTTATTCCAAATAACCCGTAGCCAGGATTTGCCAAGGGGGGTTCAGTTTTCAAAAATTTCCAGGGGGGTTCACATTTGACAATTTTGGCCCAAATATGGCTAAAATCACCTGAGAAGTGCTCATAATAGTGAATTTTTGGCCAGGGGGCTTTGCTCGAACATATCGAAACCCCCCTGGCTACGGGGCTGTGAAGTATGGTCTCAAAATTCATGTAGGTCTCTAAAATATTTTTGCATTTTTCCATATGGTAGTATGTAAACAGTGGGCCATTGAAAGGTTATTTTTTGAAAAATTGTTACACTTAGGGGAGGCATCAATATCGATATCGGATCGGAAACTAAATAAATCTAGTTTTGACTCTGACCCCCCCAAAACTAAATACCATGAAAGTTGATCGCTGACTTCCGGTTTGAGAATTTAATAATTATTGCTAAACACAATCTAGTTTTTGTTAATTCCTATCGTAATTTGTGGCTTTTAACAACTATTGATAGTCTAGAATCCATGGGAATGATCTTGTCAAAGAAAGCATCAGGTAAAATATTTTTTTTGAAAACCATTCCAAGGCATTCTGAGTCGAAATTGCCAAAAATTTGAAATGTTGTAATTTGTCGGATAGCAAACTGAAATGGGTTTGAACCCCCTCCCCCTAACTAGATTTATTTAGTTTTCTATCAGACATAGAACTTTTGATGCCTCCCCTTACCTAGTGAATCTGAGTATAGGCTATTAAAAAAATTAGGAGCACATAATGTTGGCTCACTGAAAAGTATTTGGCACCTCATAAAAAGCAATTACATTATCATGGGCATGTTCTGACCCCACCCTATATACTGTAGATATAAAGACAATTTACTTGTTAGTGGACAAGTGGTGTAAACAGGTTTGTTTTATAATGGTCAATAGAATCTAGGATTTTTATAGTCTTGTATATGTAGACTTGAATCAAGTTCCCATCAACTCTTGTATCCAGATTCATTTTGTGGGTGTGGGGTGGGTAGGGGGGGGGGATGGCAGTTACACGATTTTGAAGCAGGAGTAATGGTTAAATATGTTACTCAATCAAGGATGAATTACGCATGTTTTGTAACATAGTTGTTGACAGTCAGTTTTGCCTCACTTATATTTTAGTTTGAACAAAGGCTATGTCAATTTTGTGATAATCCACCCTGCGTGCAGAGTCTAGTTAAACTACACTCTGCCTAGTAGAGACCTTATTACAGTTTAGTAGCCCTGCCCTCACGACGGGTACCGGTGACAGTTTGGGTAATAAATCACTTTTGACATACACGCTGACCTTTCTTCCACCAATCAGCGAGCTTGAAGAAACATAGTACGCAAAATGCGTTCTAATTAAATATGCGCATGTCATTGGTCAATTCCGGGCTCAACGATGACGTCAGAAGGAATGACCATATATAGAACGTCGGTCAAATTTGGCCGACGAACACTGATTGGCGCGGTGAATTCACAGGTTTATTTTAGTTTGAAAGAGTGAAGACGAAGCTCTCTTTTAAGAAGTGTAGTCAAACGATTGCAAAGGGTAGTGATAATCTGTCTGAAGCAAAAAGCTGTGAGGGAATTATTTAAATGGCCTTACATTTTTAGAAATTCACTTGTCAATGAAGGACATCTGTCACTTGATTAAATTAAATTCTGTACTTTCGATCCATTTTCTGATAAATATACTTTGCTATTATTAATAAGAAATGTGGTATGTTAGAAAGCTGAGTAAATGTTTTTGATTATGAATATTTATACAAGACTTCAATTCAATATCTAAATTATTAAATTTTATGTTCCTTATAAGAAAATATATATTGGATTCATTTTATTAAGTTTATTAATCCAGATCAAATATTTTGTTTGTGCAGAATACTGGTTTTACACAAGTGCAACTCAATGTATAATATAAAAAAATAATAAGAGTAACTCAATTGTATTATATAAATTAAATTGAAAGGATTGACATGTAAAACAAAACATATCGAGGAAAAATTTCTATAGAATGATGAAAATGGGTAAATATCTAACAATTACATTTATCAGTGTTCTCATTTTCATAATTCAGATCAAAATTGGTCAAAATATGCCAATTTTCATGATTTTTCTCATATTCAAGTGAGTGCAAATGGATCTTCAGGTGAGTGCAAGCATGTTTTTAAAATCTCAGGTGGGTGCTACACTCACTTGCTTTAATGCTGGGGAGATCACTGTGTATAGTCTTACTTTCCATAAATGTTACATTGAACCAAATACTTTGTGTCGTTTGAAAAAGTGAGAGAAAATGTATAGTAAAACAAAAGATCTTATATTTCTATAGTCTTATTCTGTATATCATTTTATTCATTCCAGTTATGAAGGCCCTAAAGTGTCCTTTCTTGTCGCGCGTGTCAACGCCTACTGTCAGGGCAAATGCCCCTGCTTTGCTGAGTTATGCCGACCATTGTCCGATCATGGGCCATGTTATCAAGTATGTTACCATGGCAACCCAGGCCGGCGTTAAGACCGAAGGTAAGTTAAATGAGTCTAGAACAATATCATTCAATACCTCCTTATTCTCATTATTGTGACTTTTCCAAATGATCAGAACATATCATAACAATTGATGTTGCCTTTGTGAATAATTGATCAAAGTTTTGAAATAGATATAGTTGATACAACCAATGTATATATTTGTCTTACGTCGTCGCACGTTAATGCTACTATTGACTTTCTGTCAAGGCTCATTTGACTCGTCTTACAGTAATGTTTTATTGTTCTTTATTGGATCAAATCATCAGTATATGTACATGTAACCATGGGCTTTCAAGAGAAGCCCATTAAACCTCAACGCAATATTAACAATAGAGAGAATATGCATTGATCTGAGTAGCATCATGATGTGGTGACTGATTGTCAAATAAGGTACCCCTCAGGACATAAGCTTAACAGAAGATTACCTTAGTTACTTTAATGTAATACTTTGATCATCATAAGACATATAGAGCTGCATTATTGATTTTCAACTGACATATCCCGATTGTTCACAGCATCACCTTTGACTGCATTGTATATAAACTGTTTTCATTAAATGATGATTTATTTCTTTATAAAATTTAGAAATACAAATGTATTTGGTAGTCTGCTTGACATACAATTTCAAGTTTATCAAATTGAACAAAGGTGGCATGGCATTATAATAGAGTTGGTAATCATGACTTGTATTTTGAAATATTTATTTGATTCATGATTTTCAACACATATTCATTGCATTGTTAGAGATAAAAATGTCTTTGAAGTCTGGGTGAAATATAGGTATCCTTCATTCCTGCATGTAGTGATAATCAATGAACACATTTCTGGGTCCCTTTAACCTATTTCCTTAATCAAAAGAAAATAGGGAGGGGACAACTTAGGGTTTGGGCAACTTTGGGTTGGGGCAGTGTAAGGAGGGGGCAACATAGACAGAGAAAGAGAACAACACAGGGGCTCAATGAGTCTTCTTGCACTTGCAATGGTTTACTTACTAGTCCATACCCCCCCCCTCAATTTTGTGCTCTTATGTCAGCATACCAGGAAGTAATGACCATTTTTGTGACCAGCATTCAGCATTCAACAGAACTATCTGTAACAAATCGTCACACTTTATTGTCACATGATTTTAAAATAAATTAAAAATAAATAATGAAAAAATGAATTAAAAGACTGCATTTCAGGTTTTTCATTTATTCAAAGTTCATTCACTTTGGTCTCTTCACCTTGGATTTGGACATCTGTTGATTGTTTATCTCACACAAATGAGGAATTGCTACATAGATTTATTGCCAAAATTATTTTATCAAAACACTTTGGTCTCACTTTTTGTCTGTGTTTCTGAGAGCCATACCTGATAGAATGCATGTACATGTAGTCACATGCACTTGGTTGAATTACGTCCTTTGAAAATATTGACATTCCCTTGATAATTAATTTACATGATAAGACACCAGTCTTTTATTTCAATCACATTTATGGGTGCAAATTGAGGTCAGTTTTGACTGGTATATGCATGTACTCAGCCTTTAATAGCATTTTGTCATGTTTTAGAAACTCAACAATGTCAAATATTTCACTATTAGAATCACTATTTGAATCTTTGTAATATCTATATGTTTATGTTTTCTTACATTTATATCCTGTTTTGTGTTGTATCTTGCCTTCTTTTGGAACTTTTAGATCTTCAGACTTTAATATTTGTCAGTCATAGTTTATTGAAGAAGGTATTAGTATAAATTGTATAAAGTCAGTTACTTAGAATTTTTATTGCATATAAAACCAGTAAACTCTACAATACTATAGGAATATATATTCCTTGATTTCATTCATTCGATTTTAGCTGTGATTGGACATAAATATGGAAAATGATTGATTCCATAAACATGAAGAGGCAAATTTGAAAATATAATATGACTATTCAGACAAAAATTCCAGGGTACTCACAATTGGGGTAATAACTGTTATTATTTTGTTGCCATCAAATGTCAATTTTATGCGAACTTTGATAACAAGATGGGCTCAAGCATGGATCGCTGTGCAAACCAGGTGGTCTGCTTAGTTAAGCTACAAAATGAGTATATGACAATTAATATTCACAGTTATTATCCCAACGAACGAAGTTCGGTAGGGATATAGTGAAGCCCTCCGTCCGTCCGGAAGATAACTCAAATACGAGTTGATGGATTTTCTTCATATTTAGTGGAAAGATGTATATTGGTGAATAGTTGTACGCAAAAAAATGCCGCTTTAAAAATGACGGGACTTTTTCGCAAAAACCATAAATTTTTCATTCTAAACCAAAGTTATTAATATTATTGTTTGAAATTTTGGTAGTATATTCGTAACATCTATCTATTTCACATATATTCCGTGTTTTTCATCCTGACCCCCAGGGGCTGTGTATGGGGGGTCAGGAAAACAGTAATTTTCGCTAATTTTTAGATCTTTCTGAAGTATAGCTTTATTATACTCAAATGAAAGGCAATTAAGAGTAGATTGCAAATATTGTATCTTTTTTCTGATTCGAGCCTCGTAAAATTCAAAATGGCCGTCTAATATAAGATTTCGCAATAATTTTTCGATCCCTTCAAAGTATGGCTATATTATACTCAAATTGAAGGAATTTTGGAGTAGATCACAATTATGGTATTATTCTTCAGATTTGTACCTCAGAAAATTCAAAATGGCTGCTTTGCAGGAATTCGCAATTTTAAAATTTAAATTTTTCAATTTTAACCAAAGTAATGAGTATAATTGATTGGAATTCGGTAATTGATATTTTGTTCGTTGGGATTTGCTACTCCGCGGAGTTGCCATTGTCTAGTTATGCGTATTTAACATTCCTGTTCACTTGTGGGGGTTTAAACCACTATTCAAAATCTAAATAGCTTCGTTATTTGTAAAAAGTGTTTAGTCAGTGTCCTGTCTGATTGAAAAAATATCCTCATATATTAGATAACACGTTGATGTACTTGTCCAAATTACGACACAGATACAAGAGAGACACAGTATATTAATAAGTGCAATGTCTGGCTGTTTTATAATCTGGGCCTTGAGACATATTAATGAAGTCTAGTCAGTGTTCTTATTTAACATTTTCACCTTTATATTTTTTGGTCTACAGCAATCAAAAGTACCTGTAAACATCTTTTATCAGTTTTCTTTTTGAAACTTTTGACACTTTGAGTTTTAAAATTTAGTTTAGTTTAGGGAGATAATAAGAGAGATTTAGACAGACCCTTATGATCTTTTTCGATTAAATATACTTTGAAATATCTTTTAGTGAAAATCAACACTTTTTGTTTATTATGTTTATGAATCCATTATTATTTTCAAGAAATGGAGCAAAGAAATTTCTTCTTATTCATTGAAATATGGCAACCAGACTCTAAACCTGACATTAATTTAAAACAGAGTCTCTCTTTAATTAATTTTCAAACAGCCATAAATTTAAGGCAGGGCGACCCTTTAATTTAATTATCAAACAGCCTTGACCTTTTTTCTTATTTCATAAGATCATTAAAAGTCCTTATCAATATGTTTTTTTAATTCAACCAGCCTTGCTTTTGTTTTGCTATTTCATAATTTTGAATTTTTATTTTTATCTTCATACAAGTGCACATTTCTGTTTTTATTTATACATATATGTTGACATGACATAGTTTAAGTTTCTAAGATTCCTTGTTATCAATCAGGTTAAAGACCTCGTTGCAGAGAGCCATCAAACATTGTCTTTGATGTGATATTACTATTTTGATCCAGTTATTTAATCAAACAATCCTACATATCCAACAAACATCAATGTAGGATCCACAGTCTCTATTGTCCCTTGGGCAGAGTTATAATTGCTTTGTAGATAATCTGGTGAACAGTCTTGTCCCTTTATGCTGTATTATATTATGTATATAATATTGCAAAATGCTGCAAAATCAAACCCTGGCTGTAGCAGTGGTTTCAGTTACTTTGTGTACAAGGGGCAGATGAAAAATACAAGAGGCGGCATTCAAAATAACCAATTTTACGCTCCCGACAATGCAAATTCTTGTTATTTTAGAGTCCATGGACTGAAAGAAAGATGTCCAAGGTTTGTCAAAGTCGATTTCCACGTGTGATGTGGCAAGACATGGGCTCCACAAAATAACACCTGGAACTGTGGAATGACTAGGGCAACTTATAGAGAATGTCATTTACCTTTTATAAGATAACTTACCCTTACACAGGGTGCATTTCACAAATCCAAATGCACCTGTTGAATTGAACACTTTTGAAATAAATCAAAATCTAGAATTGTCATTATTAAAATGAGAGTGATGTATTAATAGATGATTCACTTGTGATTATGTGTATATCAGATTAATTTTAGTTTTTTTACGACCTCCAGACATTGCCAGAAGTGGTGACATACAGGGTGTTCCAAAAGTAACAGGACTGGTGCTGGTATTTTGTTAAATATGCACCATTTGTCTTCAAAATTTTACATAATGTACCTTCATGTTTTTTAACTAAAATTGCCGAATTACATAATTTTTGTCGAAACTGATTTAGAAATCGACCAATGACTACTCATCGGCCGGCGCCCGGCGCATATGTGTCCTAGGCATTAGAGAGAGACCGAGGTGGGAGATATCCCCCTCCCCTCTACACCAAACTTGTTCTCACTACATTTTCGAAAATTGGCTGAAAGGCCTCCTCACACATTATTAAGGAAAACATATCTACACATTTTGCGCATTTAACCATTTGATAACATATTGTGGATCTTATCTTAATTTGTTAATGTGAATTCGCACCTTCATTTGCATGGAAGACTTTGATAAAATCCTTTTTTGATGATTTTTGTTAGAAAGCTGATGTTTGGCTAAGCTTCGAAATTCCAAATTGAACAGTCTACTAAGAATACCATGTTGTAAATATTGTTTTCTTTATAATATGTCGAGCTAGGACTGCTCAAACAAATTCGCTTTTTGTAGCTACATGTACAAGTATTTAATTTCAATAGATGATAAACTTCTCAATATAAGAAATTACCCTCATAAGACATTGTTGCAAGGTGTGTTGCAATGAATGTGGCACCCCGCATTCCCGGGCCCGCATAATGTATTCTCGAAAAAAGCCATCATGGTAAACCATGACATCTCATTTCTTCTCAGCCCTGTGTTTCAGGTGAAACAGAAAGATGCCACGAGTATCAGAATGGAAGAAAGCATATATTTGCATTGATGGTATAGATAGTTATTTTATATAGTGTTTTAGTTGTACATGGAAACCGATTCTAACCAGGAAGGATATTGCAACTTTTTCAAGATCCTAAAGTTGCAATTCTCGTTATTGTGTTTCATTGTAAAGACGCACCTATGAAACTGTGTCTCTGATACAAAGGCGTAGTTCTACATTAATTTAAGATACACATTTTTTAAACTTGTACGTGAACATCTAGAATTATGGACCTGGTAGATTTTTTCTCCCTTTTGTACTGTTAATACTTGGCCGGTTGAGTATATAAAGGTATGCATGTCCCAGCTTTTGGTAAGTGGGGGGTCAAACCTCCCCCCCCCCGTAATTACAAGGGTGTTATAAACGAGACACCAGGATGATAAAGTAGGTGTACAATATATTTCCGCGTTTGCGCGGAAGAAAATTAGGGCCCAAATCTTGAGAAAGAGTCAGAGGAATGCGAGGCGAATCCTGGAAACTCGGGTTCGGGAAAGCGGGGTTCACTACATTCATAATTTATCCGACAGTCGCTTTGATAGTGTTTCTTTATCTCGTCTGCTACTCGATAAAGAAGAATTAACAAAGCTCATCAAGAATGGATGATCTTGCACAGGTACTCATATAAGAACCTCTATATCTTTTTAACAGCAATATATAACGGACACACTATGTTAAAATTAAATGTTATATTTAATGTGCCAATTCAATGATTTAGCATATCGAAAATATTTTCAACCTAAGTGACCACATCGTGACATCACTTAGGTGGCAACATTTTTCAATGTCAATCTTTTCTTAATATGCTAAACTTAAAAAATAAAACAATTTTGACTGTCTAACCAGGTTAAAGGATGAATATGTTTTTAATATTATTTTACCATTGGTTTCTATGAGAATTAAAATTTTGAAATGCATCTTTCTCTGAACCACTTTCATGCATGGATGAGTTCATTGCTCTCTCATCTATCAACCAATTTTCTTGATTTTATCGGCAAAAAAACAAGTGAGGATGATTGCTATGCATCGGTGTGAATTATCGCTTTAAAAGATAAGTGTGACCTCTTAAAGTTAATTTTGAATAAATTCACGATATTTTTAACAAAAAGTCCTTCAAAAACATTTTTGAAATTAATAAAAAGTTTCACATTTTCACGCTTTGATAACATTGGATAAGACAAAAATATAAGCCAAAGTGGTTTAAACTTTATATGGGGCCTTTAACTGATTAATAGTACAATAATGTCATTTCTAAGGGGAATATAGTGAAATATTGGACCGAGGGCCAAAGGCCCAAGGTCCAATACTTCACTATATTGCTCGCAGAAATGACATTTTAAGTATTATTACCACCGTTAACGACCAGGGCTGAAATAGCAAGAAAATCTTACGCACTGAACGATATCTAATTTCCCGGGGAAAAATTGCCGGTCCAGAATATATTCTAGACCGGTCCATATGGACCACCACTATGACGTCACACATTTCTCAGGTCGATATAGTAAAATGAACGCCTTCTAAATTAACTAGTACTAAAACCCCTAGAACCAAGGGCGATACAATACCCGGGAATTTATCGGTTCGTGCAGTACTTGTTTGTGATAGCGCCCTCTGTAGGTCACTGTGCTTATAGCCTACAGTAATACGGGGTAGGATATCGGGAATTCGGTCAGTTTCTATCCGTCGATTTCGCTATGAATTGAAGCAAGTGTGACCACTTTATCCACTTAAACAATTTGATAATTGATTAAATCTTTAAACAAAATCGATAAACACGTTATACACTTACTATCTCCTTAGAAATTAGCATGTATTTATGGATTGTGTTTTCGAACAAGGCTCGACCCAGACCAATAGGGAAATCCTTATGCTAATTAGTATGACGTCATATTTTCCTGGGGAATCCTAGATTTCAAAGCCTCAGTCTGTTATTGTGTCAAATGTAAACGCTCTTTTGCAGACAGAAAATTGACAGATTAGCTTTTAACTTTCAGCTTTGATGTTTAAATATTCTGTATTTCTACCGGACTTCTTGCTGAATATCATATAATGTTATAACTTGATTTGGACCATTGCCTGACTGATCATTCTGAAATTTTGATTGTGATTCATGATTGATTGGCAAGAAAAATAATTCCTATTGTTTTCCAGCGAAGTCAAAATGTTACAGCATGAGTTATAATGTCGAGTTTGCATCATGTTAAATTCTGCTAGTGATTAGAAGTCCATGCACAAGCATACACATAAGAGACAAACACACCCAGGCTCCAGGCCGTGGATGGAAATATAAAACTATTTAAGGCACAAACTGGTATTAATAGACCGATATGTAGTGTCTGCCATGTATTGAAGGTAAACCAATCTGCATTATTAATGCTTCTTCTATCAATACATGGATTGTGCAATGGAAAAGCAATGGCACAATCAAAAATGTGCATATCAATCGTGAATATCTCTCGGTTCAAAGCTTATTTCCAACAGAATCGTGTCAAAATATGTGTCTGAGTAACAGTTATACATTATAAGATCGCAAACTCTTACCAATTATCAGCCGAATGGCTCATTTTCAACGAAATGTCCTTAAGACAACAGCCCTGGGTCGCGCCTGAGACCAAAAACTATTTCAAATAGCCCTCCCCTAATTATATTGGATAATCACATTTATGCGTGCGCGCGCAGCTCATCCACTGAACGAAACGCCACTTCCCGCTGAAATCACCGGGTATTGATCTTTCCCTTGCTAGAACTGGCCCGGCAAGGTGGTAATAATACAATTTTACACCCATTGGAAAGACTGTACTGTGACTGGTTGTACAGAGTTATATCAGTCATACATGTAATGAGATCAAGTGATCTTTACGATTATAGTGAGTTCCATTGCAGTTCGAAACTGAGGTACAAATCATAGACAAGGAAGTGCAAAACAAGATCGCTGAATAAAATAAAGGATAGTCTATAGAAGACTTTTATTTTCCCCCAAAACTATATTTGACTTCTAACAAACGGCGAATTATCGAAAACAAACGGCGATTTCGGACACTCGCCCCCTGCTATTGAAAGTCCAGTGTAGTGAACACGTACCTACTGTGAACATTTTTTTACAGGTGAAAAAATGTTCACCATATACCTGTTTTACTGTACTTTGTCACAACATACCAATTTCCTTTACTTTGTAACAACTTATCATTCTTGTTACAGAGGATGTGAATGTCAACAAGTGCCCCTACATGACCAACAAGGTGACTGTGGCGCCATCTAGTGCTGATGTCATCCAGGACACCATTAATGCATCTAATGATAAAGGTATGTGTTCACTCAATTATTTAGATTTTACCAATATGCAATCAGACCCACCCCTTAGTTATATCCTTGATATTTAACCATTATTTATAATAAACAGTTGATATAATAGTATGATATATATCTATGTTTTATTGATGCTTATCACTGCTTATGTTCTATATTGCTTATTGCTTATATCAACGAAATTGTTGGATACAGGAGTTAATTGTGTCCCTTGTCAGATAATAGGCTTATTTTCATTTTTATATATAATTACTTATAAGTGCCTTTATTTATATATGTGTCTGTACATATAATATGTACCCGTGCCTGTCTATATTTACCTGTATATACATCTTAAACATTTTGTGATGTTCATCAATGCTATGCTTCTCATATTGCAGCATCTATGAACAACAACAATGCTGTAGCAGAAACAATGACTACAGGTAGCTTATCTCGTTGTTTTATTTTTGATTTATTTATCTGTAATGCTTTTCAGTATGATACTTTTATTCTACTGTGATCGCTTTGTATTTTACCAAGAGAGCTTTGCATTTTACCAAGAGAGCTTCTTTGTACTTTACCAAGATAGCTTTGTATTTCACCAAGATAACTTTGCATTTTACCAAGAGAGCTTCTTTGCATTTTACCAAGATAGCTTTGTATTTTACCAAGAGAGCTTCTTTGTATTTTACCAAGATAGCTTTGTATTTTACCAATATAGCTTTGTACTTTACCAATATAGCTTTGTACTTTACCAATATAGCTTTGTATTTTACCAATATAGCTTTGTATTTTACCAATATAGCTTTGTACTTTACCAATATAGCTTTGTATTTTACCAAGAGAGGTTCTTTGTATTTTATTAAGATAACTTTGCATTTTACCAAGATAGCTTTGTATTTTACCAATATAGCTTTGTACTTTACCAATATAGCTTTGTACTTTACCAATATAGCTTTGTATTTTACCAAGATAACTTTGCATTTTACCAAGATAGCTTTGTATTTTACCAAGATAACTTTGTATTTTACCAAGATAACTTTGCATTTTACCATGATAACTTTGCATTTTACCAATATAGCTTTGTATTTTACCAATATAGCTTTGTATTTTACCAATATAGCTTTGTATTTTACCAAGATAACTTTGCATTTTACCAAGATAGCTTTGTATTTTACCAATATAGCTTTGTATTTTACCAAGATAACTTTGTATTTTACCAAGATAGCTTTGTATTTTACCAAGATAGCTTTGTATTTTACCAAGATAACTTTGCATTTTACCAAGATAGCTTTGCATTTTACCAATATAGCTTTGTACTTTACCAATATAGCTTTGTATTTTACCAAGATAACTTTGTATTTTACCATGATAGCTTTGTATTTTACCAAGATAACTTTGCATTTTACCAAGATAGCTTTGCATTTTACCAATATAGCTTTGTACTTTACCAATATAGCTTTGTATTTTACCAAGATATCTTTGCATTTTACCAAGATAGCTTTGTATTTTACCAATATAGCTTTGTATTTTACCAAGATAACTTTGTATTTTACCATGATAGCTTTGCATTTTACCAAGATAACTTTGCATTTTACCAAGATAACTTTGTATGTTACCATGATAGCTTTGCATTTTACCATGATACCTTTGCATTTTACCATAATAGCTTTGTATTTTACCAAGATAACTTTGTATTTTACCAAGATAACTTATTTTACCAAGATAACTTTGCATTTTACCAAGATAGCTTTGTATTTTACCAATATAGCTTTGTATTTTACCAATATAGCTTTGTATTTTACCAAGATAACTTTGTATTTTACCAAGATAACTTATTTTACTAAGATAACTTTGCATTTTACCAAGATAGCTTTGTATTTTACCAATATAGCTTTGTATTTTACCAATATAGCTTTGTATTTTACCAAGATAACTTTGCATTTTACCAAGATAGCTTTGTATTTTACCAATATAGCTTTGTATTTTACCAAGATAACTTTGTATTTTACCAAGATAGCTTTGTATTTTACCAAGATAGCTTTGTATTTTACCAAGATAACTTTGCATTTTACCAAGATAGCTTTGCATTTTACCAATATAGCTTTGTACTTTACCAATATAGCTTTGTATTTTACCAAGATAACTTTGTATTTTACCATGATAGCTTTGTATTTTACCAAGATAACTTTGCATTTTACCAAGATAGCTTTGCATTTTACCAATATAGCTTTGTACTTTACCAATATAGCTTTGTATTTTACCAAGATATCTTTGCATTTTACCAAGATAGCTTTGTATTTTACCAATATAGCTTTGTATTTTACCAAGATAACTTTGTATTTTACCATGATAGCTTTGCATTTTACCAAGATAACTTTGCATTTTACCAAGATAACTTTGTATGTTACCATGATAGCTTTGCATTTTACCATGATACCTTTGCATTTTACCATGATAGCTTTGTATTTTACCAAGATAACTTTGTATTTTACCAAGATAACTTTGCATTTTACCAAGATAACTTTGCATTTTACCAAGATAGCTTTGTATTTTACCAATATAGCTTTGTATTTTACCATGATAGCTTTGTATTTTACCAAGAAAGCTTTGTATTTTACCAATATAGCTTTGTACTTTACCAAGATAGCTTTGTATTTTACCAAGATAACTTTGCATTTTACCAAAGTCACTTTTTATTTTACCATGCAAGCTTTGTATTAGACAGCCAAATGATCACAAAGGACAACATAAGAAAAACTAAAATTACCCAGACTCCTGTTCACTCCAAATCAAGCAGGTACAATGATTGTAAATGTGCCTGAAACCTCATGAGCTCACACAATAAAACTAGAACTTGAAATTATCCTATTGAAATTCCTCAAAAGGTGTCTCCTATATACTGTTTTTCTGCATTTTTCTGCATCCACAAAGAACTATTTAAGAAATAAGAATAAAAAGAGAATACACATTCCCAGTGAATCAGCATATGATTGTGATAGATATTTTTTCTCAATAGATGGCAGTGTTCAGCCTGGGACCAATTACGTTGAGTCGAGTCACATATCTCCACCAATGGCAGTGAAGTATGGCCTCCCAGAGGTCACAAGAAGAAGCAGGGGATCTGGGTCAGGATCAGGCGGAGGTAAGAACCATTCCTTTGTTTTATGTTCTTACTCATTTTGTCTCAACTGGGTCAGTCAGTCAGTATTTTCCTTGAATCTGAGAAATCCTTCCATGAAAGACAGCAAACAGAAAGGTTTCACCTTAAGTAGACTGATACAGTAAAACTGACATTACCCTCAAAATATATGAAATCATGATAATTTTAACAGGAAGAAACTTTATTCTGTCGTTATACAGAGTGACCCAAAATATCAGACCCATTTGTTCTACAGAACAGATCTGTGTAGTGGGTTGTTTTTGGTCACCCTGTATTTTCACTTTACTCCCAATAAGTCAGCTCTCATATCTGATCTGTTCTTAGAAATTTCCTTCGTGTTTTATTGTAGATTACCTCCAGCAGTTTTCTTTTCCACTTCCAATTATCGAGCAGGGTTGTAAGATATATTATAGTTAAAACTTTTGGTTGAGTTAAATGTTACAATTTATATTGTTGGGTTTTATTATACCATCATATCAAAGTCAGAAGTCTATAAACTGTACAGAATGAATTATCAGACATCATAGCTGTAGTGACCAGGGGTTCGGTAGGTTTTGGACGAACCCCCGGTTAGGGTTTCCCAAAAAATATTTGTGGAAAACCAGAAACATTAAATTCAATTTATATGACCAGTAAATAAAAACATAATAAAGTTGTACAATTCTCTCCAAAAGTGTGGCAACCTTAGGCAAGGGTTGGGATTGTCTAATTTTGAGAAGACCCCGGATCATCATGACATTATGCAAATAAATAACAATAATTTCGCACAACTTAAAAGCTGCTTCATATCCGGTGAAATAAACCAAATGTCTTAATACTAACAAATTGATTTAGTTTTGCAATATTTCGATTTACTCTTTAATCTTTTTCAAGCAGCTGAAAATTTTTCCCATAATTATAAATAAATTTGTTCGATCAATTTAACATAAAATTTGTTATTTTTATTTATTTTAACATAAAAACAACAGTTACTACTTATTGTCCTATTACTAATGAAAACACTTTTTCTTTCAAATCTGTGTGCCTTCGTTTTGTTTTATTTCAAACAAAATAGATAAAAAATCTTGCCTGGAGCTGATTAGTCCTCAGGAGCAAATATCAAATAATAGAAACTTTTTGAAATGAGGTAGTATGAAAAGTACACATGTATTTATCATTTATAAACACAAGCATTTGAATAGGTATAGCATTTATTATCCATCACTTTGATTTCTTTTGTGATGTGACTGCTATACTTAGGCCATACATGTAGCCAAGATTTCTCAAAAGAGTTCTACTTTTGCTGGACATTTGTAACGCGCATGCTCCCTAATTCACGTGTACACCCCATATACTGGTTGACCCAGAAAAATTACCCTCTCATTTTAGTATAAACTCAAACATGATTTTTTAATTTATCTGCGTATATAGACTGTTTAAATTCCAAGTTTTAAAATGATCACATTTTCCAACCAAGTATGGCCTTGTGATATTGTCCAAAAATGTTGAAAATGCAATTTTCTGAAATGAGATTTCTGTCTTAGCCATTATTTGAGCCATTTCTGGATTGCTTTCATACATATTATCTACCCTTCAAACAATTCAACAATCTCGTCAAATATGATGCACTGACTGCTTATTAGGTAAATTCCAATGATTTATTCATTTAACTCTCTATCTACACAAAAAATCATGAAAAGTCCTTTAAAATGGAGATATAGTTATTCCCAAATTAAGGGGTGACGTTTTTGGGGTCACCTGTACTTGGACTTGAATTTGAATTTTGAATTTTATATTTTCAATTCAAAGAAAGAACAAATGGGTATTTTCAGCACTATAGTAGGTGTCTTTTGTTTGTTGTAAGGCATTGTAATTTGAAAGAGGTTTAATTTTAGAGCCTACGGAGTACAATAGATATCTTTTCATTTCAATTTGGTCAGTTTTTGAATTTCAGCCTATGTTTCATTTTTTACTAAACCAATTATCAACTGCCACTTCTGTTGTCAAAGAGTATTCACGTAGCTATAAAGACTTTTTTGAACGCCATGATTAAATAAATATTTCATTCTTTGAAAATATTTGCTATTAATTATTCTTCAATTCAGTAACTAAATGTAAGGTCATTATGAATTCCTCTATTATAAAATTATACACCAAATAAATTTTTTTTTTTTTAGAAAAATCATAATCTCAGTATTAAATTGTGGGAATTGCATGTTTCAGAATTTGACATCTTTTTGCGAACTCTGCATTGTCGCTTCCCACGCTCAATCCACTACGTTCTATCCCGAGGTGAGGATAGGTCCGATGCTTGATGAAGCAAGATGTGAAGTTTGTGTGAACTCTTTAAGTCTATCTCCCTAAAGTAGCTTGTTTTAAAAAGATGCATATGTTTCTTAAAGATGTGTTAAGATTTGCCCTTAAACTTACATGTAGCTAAATATATGTTAACTCTTGATTTGAATTTCATTAAACAAATGTAATATTAAAATCATGATCTTGCCTTCAGATTTCAGGATATCTATTGAGTAAAAGATTCACCATTTTAACATAGAAAATCAAATCGTCTAACTTTTTCAAATTCAATTGTATCTTGCCAAAACAAAATGGAGGTATCGGACATGATGTCGATTTATTTTTCCCAGCACTAAAACAGTTTTTTCCTTTACACTGTACATATTATACGAATAATAATTCAAACATAAGGAGGCTTAAACACTCCATGGGGGAATTTACGGTTGACACACTTTTGGAAGGGGTGTAAATTGTATGTAAGAAAATTACAAAAATGGTTTTATATGAGGAACCCCAATGAAGGTGGAGATTTGGGGATAATATAAAGAAAATGAACCCCTGGTCACCAAATCCTGGCTACGCCACTAGACATTTAAGATCTCTTTATTTCACTCTCAGGGGTTGACTGTGGACATATCTGGGCGATAATTTTTTAGAACAGAATGCACAGGGTGAACCAAAAAAGCAGAACCCATAAGCTTTATTCAACGATTTATAGGTTCAGTTTTTATGGATCACAATGAGCACTATAATTGGAATGTATACCAAGTTTCTCTTTTTACATGAGAAATATTTACTACATGTATTGGTTTGTTATTGATTACTATTGGTTTACTATTGCTGTGACATTGTTCAACTCTATACAGAAGCTGGTGTAAATGTACAAGTTTGTTTCTTCGAACTCAGTGATCATGTGATTTTTAATCTTGGTTTCAATTAGTTCAAAGCTCACATTGGCTATGGTTGTCAAATTGTCTGCCTAAAAACTAAAATATTGTATTTCGCACATATATATTTCAGTCAACCCACCTCGAAAGGTGTTTCAGTTGGTCCAAACTCACATTGGCTATGGTAGACAAACCTTCTGCCTGAAAACTAAAATATTATATAACCCATATCTATATTTCAGTCAACCCACCCAGAAAGGTGTTTCAGTTGATCCAAAGCTAACATTGACTATGGTAGTCAAACCTTCTGCCTGAAAACTAAAATATTATATAACCCATATCTATATTTCAGTCAACCCACCCAGAAAGGTGTTTCAGTTGATCCAAAGCTAACATTGACTATGGTAGTCAAACCTTCTGCCTGAAAACTAAAATATTATATAACCCATATCTATATTTCAGTCAACCCACCTGGAAAGGTGTTTGACTACGAGGCGCTGTATGCGGACAAGATTGAGGCAAAGAAGCAAGACCATACCTATCGTATCTTCCGCAAGGTAATATATTGGCCAATAATGCTTTTGTTTACCTAGGCCCTCTACAATAATGTTAATTACTTTTTTGTAAATGATGAATGTAAAAACAGTAATTGTTAAAAAGATGAATATGTAACATCTGTGAAAACCAAGTAGACCTGATGAAAGTGTACTCTGATAAGATGGTAGTCGATTATTGTCAAATTATGGGCCTGATATAAATGTCCTAATCATCTGAATTAAGATACAGTTTTATTGTACACAATAATTGCTCAACCACCAACTTAAACTAGTAACATCATAAAGGATCCCAATTTCTATTTTTGTACAGTACTGTGGGAGTTTTATAGATGACCTCCATATTTCATTCCCTATGGTGCGTGCGACTGTGCCCTTATTTCATTCATGTTTTTTTGTGACTATAGGTGATGAGGAGGGGAGACGAGTTCCCATTGGCTGAAGAGCACACGAAAGGGGAGAAAGAAATCTCAGTGTGGTGTAGCAATGACTACCTTGGCATGAGCTGGCACCCCTCTGTACGTGGCGCTGTCATGTAAGTGTTGCAGGGTTTCGTTTTGTACCACATGTCTAAGTCATTTTAGTGTATAGTGATATTTCATATCATTGTCAGCTCATCTCATATATTTATTGAGCTCATGTAAAACTGGTAAAAATTTGCACTTTAGATAATGATGCCGTAAAAAATTGATCTCATACCAGTACACTGAATGTTGCATGGAATATATTTCTATATTTTTTATTGCTCTTTGTAGCAATGCGGTGAATAAACATGGAGCTGGTGCGGGAGGAACTCGTAACATCTCTGGTAACTCCCCCTTGCACGAAGACCTGGAGAATGAACTGTCCCGTCTTCACCAAAAAGACGCTGCCCTGTTGTTTACGTCATGCTACGTGGCCAATGACACCACTCTCTTTACACTGGCCAAGTCACTACCAGGTAAGACAACATTCTTTAAATAAGTGAAATTCAGAATTTAGTAAAAACAACAGCAAATAAATGAAGGGGGTGGTTACAAAGACATGATGTAAGTTTATTTACTTACCAATGTCATATATGCTCATATTTTTTAAAGTTCAATGTTATTCTAGTCTAATTAAAATGTGACTAATTTTAAATGTTTTGATAATCTGACAATCCATTTCTCTATTACAGGTTGTCAAATACTGTCAGACTCTGGGAATCATGCCTCTATGATACAGGGCATACGAACTAGTGGAGCAGCCAAGCATGTATTCCGACATAATGACCCAGCTCATTTGGAAGAAATTCTCCAGAAGATGGATTTGTCTACGCCTAAAATAGTGGCCTTCGAGTCTGTGCATTCCATGGATGGTAAGTCAGTTGTGTTGTCAGTAAGTGATAGAATATGTAGAAAGGTAGAATATATTCCTCTACAATGAGCTGAAACCAGAAATACTCCTCAGCTTATATGTGAATACATAGAAGTAAATTTGTAGGAAAACTCCCAATCAACCCATTATAAAAGCTACATGTATTAAACTCTCCATGTATTGTCAACACAATGTTCTGTGACATCATTGATAAAGCAAGTTACTACCTCTTAACACTCTGTCATGGGTTACTATGGAGTCTGTAAACTCTGGCAACTTTGGCATTTCCCTGGAGCGTTCTCATACCCATTAGAATGTGATTACAGAAGCAAATGCAATGGAATGTTCCATACTATTTCGATGTTGAATTTTACAGTGAACTTTAGGTTAATATTTTAGGATACTCAAAATCTCATTGGTAGATGTTTTAGTATGTATGTTTAGTATGTATGTTTTAGGTTCTATAAGTCCACTGGAAGAGATGTGTGACATTGCCCACAAGTACGGGGCTATAACATTTGTGGATGAAGTGCATGCTGTGGGACTCTACGGGGAACATGGGGCTGGGGTCGCAGAAAGAGATGGTGTCTTAGATAAGTTGGATATCATTTCTGGTACCCTCGGTAAGACAGTATGATTATACAGTCTATCTTTACAAAAAATATGAAGAAGATTCCATTTTTGTATCCTCTTGTAGGTTCATGTATGCTTTTCAGTTTTTGTGGTTAATGTCATGTAAATTATTGATTCCAAAATCATTCATGTGATAGCTACATGTTCTCCTGTCCTCAGACATCAAAAACTTGGTCCCTATATTTTATACTTTATGTAAGGCAATATGACGTCAATTTTATGTTACACACCAACACCAAGTTTCTCTTCCAATTTGTGTATGTAACATCTATATTATTTCACAAGTGATTACTTTCTGCCTTATGAATAAACTATAAAATGCTGCAAGTGGGATTTCCAAGTGATTCAAGTTAAAATTAAAAGAAAATGACAGTTATAGGATGAATCCTTTTCTGATTATGTTGTTTGTGTGTGTTTCAGGCAAGGCATTTGGCAATATAGGTGGTTACATCGCAGGCTCTGCTAACCTAATCGACATGTTGAGAAGTTACGCCTCTGGCTTTATATTCACCACCTCTCTGCCCCCTACAGTCCTACGAGGAGCTCTCACTTCTATCAGGGTAAGATATGCTTTTGGTGAATTCTGCATTCATCCCCCATTTAGAGTAGAATGAATGAACATAGTTTGTTCATGACTTTGATACCATATCAGACATTTAAAATGTTTAAAAACTTTGTTGTCACGTTTTACTTTGTTACTTGTCACGTTTTTGTCTGGAATGTCTTGTGATACCATTTACTGGCATTCAAAGTAACCGATTATTGTTTTGTATAACCTAAAAATGCTCATAGACACCCTGTAATTTAAAACATCATTCTCAGTTCAATCAAAATAACTTAACGCTGTATGCCTTAAAAGTTAAATTTGAATAAATAATCAAAAAATGATGACTGCCAGACAGTCACCTTATCCTTTCAATTACTCACTGTGTCTTTCATTATTATACATTCTTTAAATTCAGTTCAAATAAATGTCTTATAATTTTGCAGAATTCTGTCAATAAGAAAGATTTTAAAATGACATATAAAGGGTTGACCTTGATCTTGGATCAATATATCCACTCAAAAACTACATATTCACATGTAGCTCTATTCAAAGAAATCGACATTTAAAGTGCATTTTAAGGCCTGGATTGAATCACATGATTTCTCGTCACGATAGATGAAAATTTAAATTACATAAATGACCTATTTGATTACTTAAGGTTATGAGAACTTGGCCTCAGGGGTGAGAAAGGGGGAACCATTCATGTTAAAAGTTGATGTCTAATGCACTTCATTTTAATGTCACCATGACAATTGATCACATATTGTTATGGTCTCCATTTTTTGTGGATAGTGTGTGGTGTTTGGCGTTCAGCGTTTGATGGTTGGTGTTTGGCACTTGGCAGTTGATGTCTGTAACAAATGGCCAAGGTGATAGTTTTCATTTCAATGCCTTGTTATTATAATGGTTTGTGATGATTCGCACTGTTAACTAATCTAGTAATCCTATTACATGCATTATTATATAATGTCCCAATGAGGTAGGACTTAAATGCAATGCAACTATGGCCTCCTGGTATTAAGAACTTAATGCATTTTACCCATTACAAATAAACTACTTGAGTTTATAGTAAGTATACCTTAAAGCCCATAATTTATTTGATCAAAATCTTCCATTTTTGGCCAATACACTGACAATTTCTTAAGATTTTCCACTTTTTTCAGATAATTTTTTTTAAATGTTGACTTCAAATATAAGTATGTTACAGAGGAATGAAAATGTTGTATTGTGTGTCTCCAGATTTTGGCTGGTCCTGAAGGTCGACAACTGCGGAAGACGCACCAGGAGAATGTGAAGTATTTACGCAGTAATCTGTTAGCCCAGGGACTACCTGTCGTCCACGCTCCGAGTCACATCATTCCCATACATGTAAGGCTTACTTTTATCATATTCCGTCCTATTGTGCCTGCTATCTTTCATCTTTTTGATTCTTGATATTTTCACATGGGTTTTGGGTATGCATGGCTGTCATTTTATTTATAAGAAAGTGTGTGAAAATTAAAAAATTCTTTTGTTCAATTTTGGAGATGACACTGTCTCTTATATCCCCCTACTAAGCTATTCCTTAACATGGGGATCAAAGTGTTATTTAGCTTTAGTAAAACATGAAGTCGATGACACCAACTTTTTTTGTTTTTATTGTGATGCATCATTATGTCATGGTCATTTCAATAAAAAATATATACAGTACTTTATCTTGAAGTTATTTTAGGCCTCTGCATGAGCAACCACCTTAATTTACAATTTCTAACTGGCACACTATTGTGTTTTTGTAAAGAATATATGAAATTATGTATGATAAAAATATGTACATGTAATGTGTTCAATTTGATATAAGAGAGACCAATGCTGTAATCCGCCTTCCTAACATCTTCAATAGAGTTAACAAAATTAGGCAAATATTAAATAAAAATATAACTTTAAAGAAAAATGTGTTCATATGCATGTAAACATGCAATCATTTCGATGTGTTTGAATTGAAATATAATGGTGAATAAGCATGTAATGTATGGGCTGTTTGAGAACTCATTTTTGCTTGTTCTCTACTCTTAGGTTGGGGATGCCCAGCTATGTAAGGCAGTTGCGGATGATCTGATGGATCGTCATGGCATTTACATCCAACCAATCAACTACCCAACTGTACCAAGAGGGGAGGAGAAACTGAGGATTGCCCCAACACCGCATCACACTAAAGAAATGATGGATAGGTTTGTGGAATGTGTGCGAGACTCCTGGGCACGAACTGGCCTGAAGTTTGAATCTGTCTGCAACCAGAGCTGTGAATACTGCCAGAAGCCCATGAGGCTTGAATGGCAGGAGGCGCGGGAGAATCGGTTGTGCGATGGACGAGTGTGTGATCTTTACCTACAGGATCCACAACCGCAGAGGGTTTCAGCGACTGCTTAAGACTGGATAAGGACCACTGATGTCATACTTTAAAACCATACCAACTATTTGATTTTATAATATTATATTACTAAAAAGGAATGTTAAGAAAAACATTATCTCGTTCTAGGAGTCTATGATTTTAAAATGCTTTATTTGTATTTAAAACATATAATATCATGCATAATATTACAATTTTATTGTATGAAAATCAATGAAAATATATACTTGTATATATTGTATTTAGTAGGAAATGGAATGGTTGTATTCAGATTTAATTTCATAAAATTTGACATACACATGTGCAAGTATTATGTAGATTCTATTGGTATTGGTTTTAAAGTACTGACAGTGAATGGGTCCCAAATAAATATATCATTTTATGAAAGCCTTAATGAAACAACTCAAAAACATCAAAATTCAAAAAGTGCCATAAGTGATAAAATAACCTATACAACAGTTTAAATATTTTAGATGATTATTTCGTAAAATATACTTTAATTCATCTGACTTTCGTATCTTGGTATATTTGTGTTGGAAGAAATTGGCATGGATTTGGAATATGGACTTGAAATTGAAATCTCATACGGACACCACCAATATTGATGTATTTATTATTAGAGAGGTTTATCATATATTTTTATAAGGCACCGAACTATTAAAGAAATTCACTGAGACAAAACCAGTAAAGACCATGATTTGGATCAGAATTTTTAATGCATGCTTTGTAGCTACTTTAAGCAATGGCACAATAATTTTTAATCATTTTACAATAATATCCAATCTAAAGTTGTGTCTTGTCTTCATCTAAAGGTGTATTTTATTTTTCGAATTATTTTGAAATGATGTTCACTGATTGGTCACAAATACATTCAGCTGTTCGGACTTTTACTTACTACCAGGACCTGTGGACTTTGGACAACAGGTCCGTGATTCACAAAAAGAAATATAAAAGCTTGGTTTGTGTGCATATTTTCAAAATTCATTTTTCCAAAACAACACCCGGGGGTTTCCCAAAATCTTGCTGTTAGAATAAAGAAAAAAATGAACTCATGAGATAATAAATAGAAGCCAGTGCCCATTTCCTGTTTCCGTCAGTGAACATCATTTGCAAAATACTTTTAAGAGCACTCATGACAAAATAAAAAATTTTGTTTGAGTGATCCGCAAAATTACGTGTGGGATTTTTTCGTAAAAGCTAATGTTATAGTTTTGACTGCTGCATATTTGACTCCAATGTGAGTCGAATGCTGCAGTTAGAAAATATAACAGAAGCTGGATTAAAGGGTCTTGTTTAAAAAAAACAGCATCTCCAAGTATAAACTATCAACAGCTCAGGACTTGCGGGACATTTTGGATCTAAAATTAAAAAATATTCCATATAAAAATTGCAAATATCGAGACCCTTTATAAAATCCAAAAGCAAAATGGTTATTTCGGTGAAAGTTTTATTAACTTTCATTATCTCTTAATGAGTTTTTACATAAATTTGAATATCAGATTGAGCATGAATCAATTTTTCAATGGGTTAATATTGAATTATATGGATTTTATAATTACATTGATATATATTAGTGGTTTTCATATGTGGATAATATTGCCAATATTAGTAATGTGTAGTATTTTGTGATATTGGCTCTTATGTCATGTGTCATGGCATCATAACGTAGCATGACATCACAATAAGAATCATATGTTTTGACATCACCTTGAATCATGTGTCATGACATCACCATGAATCATGTGTCGTGACATCACCATGAGTCATGTGTTGTGACATCAAATATGAATCATGTGTTGTGACATCACAACTTGGTGTGTCATGAAATCATCACATACGTTTGCAAATAGAGTTTGGTATCCTCCTTAAATCACCACAAACAGACAAAAGAGCAGTGCTAGTTGACAACAAAACTAATATTAGACCCAGATTGCTCAATTAATAATTTTGAGAAAATTGATCAATCTATATGACATTTTGAGTATGAATTGCTAAATAAGTGCAGTGCAATCAATTTTGAATTTACATTAGAGATAAATTCCTCGCATATGTAAATGAATATATCGTAGATTCATTTATGTCTAATACAATACCCACCAGTCATTTAAATGCAATATGATTGTTTAATGTGCAAATCTGCCATGAAAAGAACAAGTTCACCATGGAATATGTTCTAATGCAGTTCTTATACATTGTGGTATCAAATATTGAAACCTCTTGAAATATGTGTTGTAATGTTGAATATGCTGGACATATACACTTAATATACAATTAATTTGTTTCATTTGATTTTTACTCAGGTTAGCTTATCACCACTGCAAGAAATGAATATTAAATATATTGATGACATATTATTCACTAGTACTGTCAGATTGATAATATCAAAGTTGAGAGAACCTAAATATTTGGGACACTACAACCCTCTTACTATCAATATACACGGTGTTCATAAAGTATCTTCACACAGACTTTGTTTTGTAATTGTAAAGAGACTTTAGGACACCCTGTATATGAAGTTGTATTTTCTGGATTGATTTTTTGCAGTGGTCTCTAAGAATATAATGTATCAATATAATTTATCAATAGAGTGTATCTTTGTGGTTGGTTAAACCCAATACCATGTCTTTGTACATGTAATCTCTGTGCTTAAAAAAGTGAAAACATCAAATTTTTTTACACGAGGTTCAAGAGGCAATGACCTGATACATGGAGCTTAGTTAAGAAACAAAGGCTGATACATGTAACCCAGTAGGTATAACACTTATAACAGCTGATGCATGAGGTCCATAGGCAATACAGCTGATGCATTTGTGTACTTTGCATTTATACAAAACACCTAACAAGTTGAGCAATGTGTTCCTAGTCTACAACAGGGTACCTGTATGCTTGTGTAACTTATCTATATGTTAATAATGTTGTCAGTTTTATTTACATATGACGCAAAAATCGTTATTATTTGTTATGAAATTAAAATTTTAGAAAAATAAATAAATCGAAAAGAGATCAAATATCTGGAAAGTTATGTTATTGTTATATGTATGTGATATATGTGCACTGTGATATACAGTGTATGCCCAAAGGATTCCAGAGCTGCTGGTCAAAAAGGCATTACTGACCAGTTGCAATGTTATTTTCCTATACCTAGTGAAAAAATCAACTGGTCAGTATCAAAAGTAACCAGATAATGACCAGCTGTCCGACGCTTAAGGCGTGCCCTTGGTATATATTACCACCAGTAACACTATCAATTGTGGAGCCTACAAATTTAAATAGACGTCCACTCAGCTTGCATGTCAGCAAGAACTCTGATTGGTGCATGCACAGAACTATCTCATGTAACCAGATATTGAGGTGTATAATTACTTTGGACGTTGCATTACTTGAAAAATAATATCTTGTAGTTTCTGAACGAATTCCCAGGGTACCAAATAAGGAGCACATTATCTGATCACCACTGAGTATACATAGTTGTCTTCCATCTGCAACATGGATTTCTGGGAATTAAGGGTTGATGATGCAAGTGATTTATCATTATTCATCCCTATACCTGTGATTCAAGATTACCTTATCATACTGTCATCAAATTATAAAGGATTTGGATGTCTCTGTCAATTTGCACTTATCTGCTGAAGTGAGCTCAAGGTTTATTAGTTTTGAGTAGAGTAATTTTGCATGACAATCCTGGTTTAGTTGAAATCAGTGTAACAGAAAGGTAGTTATCCAACACTATCACCACCTTGTGAGGCCTGTTCTCTTGGTATGAGTACTAGGTTAGAAAGATTATATTTAACTATATTGATTTGAGCCATAGTGATCATTATACAAGTTTGTACTTAGTTTCAATAGGTGATCATAATAGTAATAACCTAATTTCAGAGGGGAACATATAGAAAACTTGGCCCTCAGGCTGAGGTTATCGCTATATTATTATAAACCCAATGCAATAAATAGGGATACTTTTCTTATTGGTGCCATTAAATCACCACAACAGGTTTCCAAGGTTATGCATGCTCCAGCTTGGCCATACAGAATTTCAGGAATGAAATCATTTTTGAAATCTAAAGAAAACAAAGACAATAATTTTTTGTTTAATGAAATGTATTATACAGTATGTACTTACAATGTGTACGTCTTAAATAAACATGTACCAGAGATAGATAGCCCTAAAACATAATTTCAATTATAGGTGGCACTGATATGCTAACCTGCCACCTATTGTTGAGATAGTTATATGCTGTCTTTACATGGAATAATTACATTAGTACGTACAAATCTACAGTTAATATAGCAGGTGGGGTAATACACAGTCATAGTATATAAAGATCAGACAGATTTAGTGTTTGTAAAACATGATTTACAGCCGTATTTATATTCAAAAACCATCGTTACACATTTTAACAGAGTACACATATCATTCTGTTGTTTAAGAAAACAAATAGGGCATCAACAGAATTGATTCAACTAATAGCTAAAAAGAGATCTGTACACTAAATGAAATGGGGCATAATACAACTACTTTGCAGATATAGTCAAGTGTTTTATCCGCATGTACTTGTTCACTCTAAGTACACATTCTCTCTTGCATTAAAGGCTAAAGAAATGCAAGGGAGTCTGGTATAAATACTTCTCTTGCATTAGTTGAGACTTAAGATATGCAAGGGAGTATGGTGCAAATAGTTCGATTCATTACTACATAGATTTCTAGTTTCATTTTTACAGTGCTGATTATCTATCCTTTATGCCAAGTAGATTTTCTAAGAGAATGAGTCTACCTACAAAATCCACCTTTCAACATAAGCCAAAATGATGTTCTCATTAATAAAGATTTTTCATGATTCTTTCTCATATAAACCTATAATTTTACATGAGATATTCTGCTACTGAAACATATTGAAATTAATTAAGTATATTAAAAATAAATCAAATGATTCAAATGCATAAAAGAAACCTACATATGCTTTTATTTATCATTTGGTTACAATAAGCCAATGGAATGGCATTTAGTTTATTTACCAATATAAAATCATCTTCTAGTCGTCTTTAACAAACTTTGAAATAAAATACTTTCCTCTGCTGATTCTCATCATCATTATCATCTTCATCTTCATCATAAAGAACTCTGCCAGTAAGATCTGCAAGTGTACTTGCTTGACCTTCAGTTCTCCAGTTACAACTTATAATGTACTTGCCTGACCTCTCGAGTCTCTAGACATCACTGCAACTTCAATCTTGGGAGAATTTAGATTTCATGTTTAACCAGGGGAAATATGGTTATAATCTAATAGGTTTGGCATTGTGTATCAGAGATGGCACTGTTGAAAGACAGCTTTATGTTTTTTACGTATCAGTTGTTACTTAATTATTACTGAAAGCAGGGGTTTATTAATCTGGAATATTCCCCCTGGTTGTTTCTAAGCATGGTGTTCACTCATATGTAAGGAGAATGTTGTTTGAACTTGCAGTGAGCAATTTATATGGCCTGTCATGTCTTTATCTATTGGAGGCGTACAGTCTTGTATGTGCTTTTGCTGAAATACAAAATATTAAATATTTTTTTAGTTTGAATTTATTTATTTTGTATCATATTCAAAGAAGGTGAAATTTATAACATGTTTGACTTTTGATCAAATGTACAATGTTGATGTCTAAATGTTTAAAGAGGCTAAGCTTGTATTCGTGAATGCAACTAATGACTGTCAGCTCCTGGATTAACCTCCTATTTTATGGGGAACTCATTTGAATATGAAAAGTACATGCCACTTTTCCATTCCATATTGAAATGAGTTGGTCATGAAATAGTAAATTAATCCAGTAGCCGCATGTCGTTAGTTGCATTTGCGAATACAAGCTTTAATCCAATTTTGAAATAAGGTGTAAATAAAGTAGACATTAAAAAGTAATTCCAATTCAATTTGAAAGATATCATTATCAAATCAAATCAAGTTAAGTAAATGACTATTGACTTTACGAATGCCTCAGTCACATGCCGTAGCTTCCCAAAATTGAGAGAAATATGCAGCATAAAATATAGGGATAGGCAATGCGATGTAGATTTTCTATATCGATTATGTGTACCTACGGCCGCCATACACATAGAGCAAATGTGACTGAGGCTTAAATGTCACTAATATATTTGGGTAGTTTAGAAAATACATCACCAAGAAAATGCATTTTCTAAAATTTTCGGGCTCCCAGAGGGTAAATTTAAATTATGAATTTTACTTTTAGATTTTTATGAAACAAATTGCCTACATCATTATGTATGTTGTAATATTATACATTAATTAATAAGAGGTACTAAAGTATTACTACTACACATTTAATTTTTAAATGTTATTATCGAATTCAAATATAAATCAAATATTTTAACTGAGCCAAGTATTGGATGATTGGAGGCAGTATTGATCAAATTTGCAAAGGGTTAATTTTATTCTCACCTGTCTCAACAAAACAGGAATATCCCAGAATTCATACAGTCATACTTCTCTTATGTAAACTATATCATTGATTGGCCAAGGGTTCATCTATAATCCTGGGAAATGACCTCTTCTGGATGAAAAGCGTGGGAACATCTGATATGACCAGTTCCCATAACAGTGTGTCACCTCACTGTATGTATAGTGATCGCCTACTATTAAAAGTGTGTGATCAAAGACTCGACAAGATGCGCAAAATTCGAAATGTCGGAGGAAAGGTATGTTTGTTTCTCTTTTCTTTACCACCTTAATGACATTTTACCTACAGATGGTATTCCATATGCTGTATAAGAGACTCAAGATTCATTTGGTAACAGGATTCGGTGATTGGTTCAACCGAAATACCTGAACTGAGTTAATAAATGAAGCAAAATCAAAAAACCCGCCGAATGAAAATGTATTTCACCAAATTTTCTGTTTTTAGATTACCAAAACCACAAAACCAACATGCTTATGGTTAATATACATAATACTTAACATTACATGCATATCAGACGTTCCAACTCCCCTTCAGTATCGAGTAAGAAGGATGTTATGAAAACAATTTATGATCAGCCAAGTGGGTGATTTTACCATGTGGATTCTAATGATATGTTCTTTGCATTTCAGAGTGGTTGGGTTTACATGATTTTACTGTCCTTCATTACGAACTCCTAAATTTCAAATCATTATAAACCACCTTGTAGAACATCATGAAGAAGAAGAGATGAAGATGAGAAAAATTACTGAAAATAGAGGCAAATCTAGAATGATAACAAGAAATTTCTCTGGAATAATACCAAATGAAGTGAAATCAATAAATAAACACATACTTGTAGAAAGTGATGAATTCATGACAATTTCAGTGATTGACAATAATCGAATGAAATCATCCAGAATCTCTGATTCAACAACTGCTAAAAAATCAAATAAAATTACCAATGAAATTGCAATAGAACGAGAATATCAATTAGTAATGAAATGACAATAAATGATTCTGAAATTACAATAGACTCTCATTCTCCAATAGTGTCCACCAGTTAATCTGAGATGATACCCCTCTGAGCAAAGCCTAAACTGGAACTTTTACTCGGTCCCATCGATCCACATAACTCTGTCATTAGAGATAATAGCATGGTATTTATTTCACATTTTGTAGAGTTTCTCTAAAAACGCTCACTGGTCGTTTATTTTGCATTCGATTACATACAATTCTAAAATTCTCAAGCTAATCACTTATAGACCTTAGTTGAAAATTGATCAATAAATCCACTGAATATTGACTACCTTAGAGGAGTTTTCCCTTATACCTGTCATTTATATATGACCCAAGTTAGCCACCTCGTGGTGAAACTGGGAACTGACTACTGGCATCTACTGAAGGTTATTACGTCATTACATTACTTATTGATACCTTGCTGCAAAAGAATGATTTAACTCCCCAATGAAATAGATAATGTACAATTCAGATTTTATATTTTATTACAATTACAATTACATTACAATTCGACAATCATCTTGGATGCCAAGGTGTATAGTTC